TTTTTTTTTTTGAAAAGCAAGACAAAACAGTAAACAGCACATTTTGCACATTTAATTTGTGTAATGGTGAAAAAAATTGGTAAAATACATGGGGAAAACCCCCCCGAAAAACCTTGTTCGGTATTCGGCCTTCGGCCCAGTGTTTCATTTTGTTCGGTTTCGGCTTCGGCCAAGAATTTTCATTTCGGTGCATCCCTAAGAAAAGACAATAAAACAATTAACTTTAACTTTGGTTTAAGACAAGTTATTATTGTCTTTTGGTTGGCACAGTCACATGAGGGAATTTTGCAGGCAAAGAAAGTCTTATGTCAATTAATGAAAACAACACACTTCTCACACAGAAGCACACACCTCCAAACCAAGCAGCTCTTCTACTGGTCAACAAGGCAAATTTGATCACCAAACTTGAACCCAATGTGAAATCCATGAGGGAAAATTTTTCCACCCTCATGTGTAATTCCTGATCACACATATTCCCACTGAAATGATTTCACCCACAAAATTGCACTGTGCAAAGGTACACGTGACCTGATTTATTTATTTTTTTCACAAAAATTACTTTGAGACCAAACAAAATTGGTGAACCGTCAGGTTTTGAGTCGATTTAAAAATATATATTTTCTAAATATTTTATGTTAAGCATACTTTTTGTGCACAAGCACAAACGTCATCGCTGAGTCAAAGCAAAAGCATTGCAAAACCACACCTGTGAGAATCTGTGCATCAAGATTTTAATCTAGGTTCACTCACTCTCAAAGGAAATTTAAAAAAAAAACTGAGTCACTGCAGGTTCAAAATTGGTTCGGTCTTGAAATTTGTCACCGATAAATTAAATTTCAGTCAACTTCAGGTTAGGTCAGGTCACAGGGCCTGGCTCATGCAGACGTCTGTTTTGAGCTTGTTACTACATGTTATTCAGTATAATCTGACAGTCCAGGAACAGTTATATACATATGAGTGTTGATAAAATGTAATGCAGCATATACTTTTATGAATTAGTCCATATAGCATTTTATCAATAACTGTACAGCTTAAAGGGATAGTTCACCCATAAAAACAATAAGAGAGTGAAATTCTCAAGAAAGCACATAAATATTTGCCGTCATTTATCTATCCAGACAGAAAGTTTATCTTGCCAGGTAAATGATTTCTGAGGTTTGTGGCTTGCCAGTGTGTGAAAGAGTGTGTGGCACAGAGAAGTGAACTCTCTATGGCCTCTGAGTGTGGTGTGCCACAGTTCACTGTGCCACCCTCACAACAAACCAAGCCATACAGCGCTGTTTGTCGGCAAAACACCACAAGTGCTCTTTAATGCGTCACATATTATAACACAAATACCAACACACGTGGTCTGCGTGCAGCACTAATTTCAGTGTCTGTGGGAGGCCGATGCTGAGACCAGGATCTAGCGGTGTAATTCCAGTAGCAGCCTCCCAGTGTGGGTTCCCTATTCTCCAACTCAGGTCAGCCGGGCTCTGGGAGTGTTTGTAAAATGTGCACAGCGTGGTGCGGGGGTGCTGGAATGCGATAATCGGCCCTCTATTATACAGCTGCATATTTGGCAACCACAACATGCCCCCTTTCTGCCCTCCCACTAACCCCATTTTCACAAAAAATTTGTCATTGTAATAGTAACTATGGATTCTTCTCACAGGAAATGGCTGATGGTTTTTATTCAGAGGTCAAACCCATGGGACTTACACATGAATTTACTGTCTGCATTTCCTTGGGGCTAAATGAGGAATGGCAACTTCTATTTAAACTCAAACAATTAGCCTACTGCTTTCCATCTCTAACCATAAATGCAACCACATCATGGTTTTAATAAGAACAAATCAAGTGAAGCTCTAAAAATACAGACACAATGGTTCAATAAATGGGAAAAGATAATGCAGACTCATCTAGAGTTCACATGTTCAGTACATTCATTTGTGGGGAAAAAAGAGTGATTGTCTTCCGTGACAACAGCTGATTCTGAATGATGTCCTTCCAGAGTTTAAGTGCTTATGCAATAAATTATACAGTCTATTTACTGTTATAGAGTATTTCAAATACTATGCAATAAAAGACTAATGCTAATGAAATGATTTTATGTAACCTGGAGTTCTGTCATGACAACTCTCGGAGGGATTGGCATGGTAATGTACATGACAATGTTAATGTATTTGGTCTTGGCGGAATAGATCTGCTACGCTGCTGCTGCTGCGGCAGAGCAAGTACCGAGACTTGCTACTGCCAATACATCCACAACATGCTGCTGTGAGCATGTAAGAATATTGCTGCTGCAAATATAACATACATGAAATAACCCCCATATAGCATACATGAATCACCTCGTAGCAGATCTATACAGGTGGAGCTGGGGAAGGTGGAGGGTTTCTGAAGCAAGCTGCACTGCTACGGCAAGCTCTAGTCATATATTTGAATGCTGAGCAGCGAGCTCATTGGCTACCAATACAGGAGAGAACCAATCAGCTGTGCCATGTGATAATGATGTCATTACGTCAGACTGAGTTAGACCTATCAGACTGCACCATCAGAGTTTCATGCCAGAACTCTGTATTTATCTCAAATCTCTAAAAGCATCTGCCCTTTAACAAATGCTCTAATGTCTTGTAATTTCTCAGAAATGATCCAACTCTTAAATCTATGCAACGTGTCAATCATATGTCAAGGACATTTTAAAAGCTGGACACTTTAATTTTACTTTAGCACAAGAAATAACAAACAAAATTGTATATGCACAAACTAATGCATTAAAAACAACAACAAAATGCTGCTGACTGCAAAATTTGCATAATGAAACATTTCACTGTATTTAAACACTGCACATTGTTCCCTCATACTGAAAGACTGACATGCACGGAAAACCATGAACCCACCAGACAGCATAAAAAACAAATGTAGAAACTACATTTTTATGCCAGAGAAACCAGGTGGATCTGCTGTGTATGAATCTATGATAAAGGTGACCAAGAAATTATATGGTTTGGGTTTTATTTAATAGATACTGTTCTCAACGATCTCTAGTTACATCTATCAATGCCAGTTTCTCTGCTTTGTACACATTTCAGAAGAAAACAAATAATTAAGTAATATCACTCAGCAAGAGCATGTTCAATAAACAATACGTTAATACTGAGTAACTTGCATTTTAGAGACAATGTTGCCGTTTTTATTGTCATTTGCCATTTTTATTGTCATCAGTGAAAATAGTTTCTCTGAAAATAGTTTCACAGAGTTTAAATAGTTTCACAGAAAACAAGCCATTTTGGAGTTTCATTCTAAATGGATTGGTATGTTAAACAAATCAGTTGAGCAAACAATTTAATGACTCAATCAAGCTTTCATTCCTGAATAAATGAGTGGCGTGAACGAATAGGTTGAGTGAATGATTCAGTGACAAGGACTGTCACTTGTCGCCACCTACTGGAATATCAGTTTAATTTACCTGTTGCATAATCAGGGTTAAAATGCTTAAAATATTGTACATAAATATATAATAAAAAATGTTTAAAATGATACTTTATAATAACATAAAATACACATCAGATCATTCCAGTGGTTTTGTTATAAACCATAAAGAAAACACTTCTCTCACAGCCAGCTGGAACAAGTAACCATCTCCGAATGCATGAGCTCCTAGCTTATTTATCCAGTAACACAATCCAGATCTACGCTGCCCAAACACCCCTTGGATTTGAGCTGAACGTAAGGTTTATCTCTCTTTAGAGAAGTAGTTTTTACAAATCCTTTGACCGCTTTCTGCCTGGATTCAATCCTTCAAATGAAGGGGAGTTGTGTCCTCTGCCCTCTACTAGGCTACTGAGTTCTGTTCCCACACTGTCCAGCTGCTGACCTCAACCCCCAGCTACGCTGCAAACACTTTTGACATTAGCTGGCTAAACAACTTCTGAATTAGAAATGCGCTACAGGTCAAGGTAGCCTGAAGACAGAGGCCTGCTGGCTGTTTTCACTTCTTTGTCCTCTCTTTTGCGATCTTTTCATTTTTCGAGGCATTACTGGAACAAAATAACAAGACTGACAGCTATGTAGCCACTCCCACCTGCAGTGTTTTTTTACATTAAAAGTGTCAGTCAGGCTCTGAACAGGAGGATTGTCTGTATTTCAGCAAGAGATCTCAAGGGAGATTTGAGTGAAACAGAGCTGTCACGATTCCTAAAGCGTACATAACGACCTAGCAAATACAATGCGAAACTGCTGTACCTCTCACCTACTGCCTCAGGCGTCATCACGCACAACCAAGGCAAAAGCTGTCAAAGGGAGCAGATCATGTGATTAGCAGGCCGATGTGAACCCATTCCTCCCTCTATCTCTCTCTGCATCTCCCCTCTCAACCAGATTAGGCCAGAGTTCACCGAGAACCAAGAGCCAAACTGTACAGAGCGCCCATTCACTACAGATAATCCTGATGGCCAACCTTTAGTTTCCCAACTAATAATCCAGTGAAAGATCCAGTGTTATACAGAATACGATAACTAAATCTAGGGTGTCAGAATAGTCGTATTGCATATATTGCTTTGCATATTCCTTCTGTGCAGCAAGTTTTGATAGATGATAGATGATTGATATAAAATAGCACAGTTAAATGATTACATTACCCAACTGGCACTAATTACAAAAGACATCACAGTGTTAATGAAACACTTGTAGAGCAAGTTAAACAAACCAGATAAGAGATAAGAATCGAATAAAGTCATGGAAGTAACCAGAGTAGGGAAACATAATGGCCTGTTCACGCTTTAAAAAAAGAGGTGAACCCTGTTCTGATAACCTCAGTTTCAATTGGAACACTACTTTCCCGTTAACAAGCCACCAAGAACCGCACAGAGGAACATTTAACCCCTCTTCAACATGCCTTAGGCACCAAAGAGCCAGTGTTGTTTTATTTTACCACCAAATCAAAATGCTGTCAGTATCTGGCAAGAAAAAAATATTAATTCTACTATTTGAGTCCTAATGTGTTTGGAAAATAACCACAAAAAAAAATATTAGGTATTAGTAATAGCCTAGTTAAGGTAGTAATAGTTAAGTTCACAAACAGAAGTAGTTGCTGCTGAATTGAATAAAAATACTTCCATTACAGACAAAAAACAACAACAACAAAAAAGCTTTCAATACTGTTTGGACTATGTCATGTTTGCAATGGTGCAATGTAAACTGTTTTCAATATACTGCAACAGAAAAAATACTTAAAAAAAAAAAAAATTGCTTTTAACCTTAAAAAACCAAGTGATAATCTGTAGTTTAATTGCTGCCTTAATTTTTACGTAAAAATATTAGTTCACTGCACACAAGTTCACTTTAAATGTAATTACTAAATAAGAAAATTGAGCTCTAAAATCTCATGAAACAAATAAAAATGACAAATAACTGTGACATGTTAAATTGATGAAAACAAAACAAAAAAAAACTTTTAGGCCTAATATACAAAATATTTTACAGTGATATTTGAGTTCAACAGGTAGTTATTTATTGTCAGACTCCACTGCGCAATTTTATTCTCAGTCTGACAGCCTCTGAGGCCGGGTCCAATTCTTTGAATACAGATTTGCTGCTTTTTGTTTTGTCCCGTTGTTTAAATCATGAATGCATATTGAACATGTTCAGTCATGATTACAGAATAATAATTTTTAATCTATTCGTTTCATAATGAGATGCAGCAAGTGTGTTATTTCTTCGAAGCAATTGGACTCTGGTGATGACATTTAATAAAGTTTCAAGTCATTTGTATGAGTCCATTAACAAGAGCGAGCCAAAAATAGGGTACGCGCACACCTCTCCAATATCAACGTCTTGAACAACTATAATTGCGGGGGGAGATTATAGGAAAGGGTTATTAATGAGAAGGGGGAAATGTATAACATATCAGTTCAAATAAACACCAGCAAGAGTAAGACAAATTTAATGCGACAATGTGGCTCAGGAAAAATCATAACTGATAGCCCACGCAGTAATAAAAAGTTTCCTGCGCCTTACCTTTTTTTCTCTCTCTCGGCTGTCATGATGCGCTTATGCTGAAGACAACCTTGTCTTGCGTATAATGAATTCACTCAACTTTACCGGGGAAACAAATTTTTAAACGTGTGTTTTTACACAAATGCCTTTGTTTAGTTATTCTCCTCCGCAATGTCCATTCTCATGACATTTCCAGTAATGACCGGAGCAGTTAGTGCAGTCTCAGAACACTGCCGAGGATCGCACTAATCTCCACAGTGACACTGACTGACCGGACGCTGGTAAACAGCTCGTGAGCGCCGCTCCTGCACTGCGCGTGCTGTCAGCACTGTGCACTGCGCGCACTGATTGGTGCTCTTCACCCCGCTCCTGCCTCTCAGCGCGCCCCCGAGTCTCGCGCTTCCCTGTCACACATGCGCGCTCCGCGAGTTCTGTGCACGCTTGGCCTGTGAAAAAGTTCAGTGGCCGATCGACTCGAAAACCCGAAGACTCGAGATGAACTAATCAATTCTCTTTCCGGCTCAGACTGCATTGGTTAAAGCTTATGGGGCTGTCACGTGATGAACGAACGACTCGGAAAACCCCGAAGACTCGAACCAGGTGAACTACTTGACTAATTCCAGTACAGAACCTATAGGATGTTGCGCATGCGCGACTGAACGAATCACTCCCCGAGACGACTCGTTCTTCCCGAGTCACATTAAAGATTAGTTCAAAACGAACGAATCGTTCAAGAACGACCCAACACTAGTGGCGGTGTCTCATATAAAACAAACACCACATGAAGTGTCCAAGAAGCATCCAAAAGGAATCAGGGCTGAATTTTAATCTCTGAACGTGGACAAACAAACAAAAATGACCGTCGACCATGGAAAAATAACAGTAAAGCGTCTTTTCCAGGAGCAGGGCTTAATTGGAACAGATTTAACTTTAGTTCAACTCTATCTTGGACCCATTCCCATTTAATAAGAGGCCTCTACCAGTATACCATGTAAACAAACATGTAATCGATCCCCTCTAACCCTGCTATGAAGTCAGAAACCATGTAGTTGATAGAAAACTGCAGTTGTGTCTGTCATTATCGGAATGGTTAGAAAAAGCCACATGCTTGGAGAAGTTTGCATCTGAACACCTCAGACATTTCCATTAAGGCCTTTTCTTTGAATGACTGTTGAAGTACAGCTTACATATCAAGCTCATTTGCAATAATGCACACATATGCATGTTGGTTTCTCCATGTTAGCAAGAACATCTAATTGACGCAATTGTTTTTGGTGAGGTGAGGAGGTTTGCTGACCTCAAACCCTCAGAGAAACCTGATGGTATCAACAGATTTAAGGCAATACATGATTGCAAGTCAGTTTTTTTTTATGTTGCACTGTATTTGTGAGGACGTTTTTAAAAGTTTAGACTTACAAGTATAGCCAAACCTCTAGTTACATATTTTACTTTTGCAATTTGATGTTCTATTTCCTCAGTATGGGTGTGTGTGTGTGTGCACAATTCTCTTGCAACATATCACCAAAACACATACATTTTCATACATCTTGGGGTTTAATAGGTTAAACAAAACATTCACATCCTTTAGATGACAGTACATTTGGCACATAGTAAAATGCTTACGAGACAACGCTAGAGTATCCAGAAAAGAAATACCTCTGTGCACATGAAGCTTCACCATACAGAAACTAAAGTCCAATACCAGATGTATATAATACAGCACTATCATACATATGAAACATTTATGTATTTTAATACTGTATGCACAAATATTCAACATTCAGCCAGAGAAATCTTTGCATTTAATTTAAGAGGTAATTCTTAGTTTATTTACTCTGTTTTGACTTTGAAGACAGACCATGGATGCGTCCTATATATCAAGTTCATTCCTTTACAATCAAAAAGGAAACGACGGGAAAAAATAAAGCTGAACAAGACATTTGGCATGATACCATGAGGGCGACTGACAGGAAAGTGCCTGTGAGAGAAAAGGCTTCAAAGACAATCGGCAACATTGACCTAGCTGCCGTGATCAACCCACAGACACGTTAAAAAAAAAAAGCAACGAAACAAAGTCGAAGCAAAAAGAAACTTCAGACAGAAATAAAAGTTTAAAGACAGTAACCACTTTTGAAAGAATAAAACACATCTTATTCAAATCGCCATTGAAATGCTAAAGCAAAAGTCATCACATTCCAGAAGGTTTTAATTAGTACGCCTGAAATGTACCCTTTTTTCGTTTAGTTCACCACTCCTTTAGAGTCTTTCACATTGCACAAGTAAATGATTCAACTACAGGGGGTTCACACAATTTTAAAACAAAACTTAATAGTTTGAAAGATCTACGAAAGTGTGTAACAAGGTTGAATTGTCTGAAATAAAGTAACACAAAATGATGCAAAGGACACAACTGACTTACTGACATAAAAGCTACATGTATATTGAATAAATTAAGAGCTCACACATTTTCCACTACATTCCACAGCTTATGTACTTCAGCAAACTATGTACATGAAAACGGCAGCGCGAGAAAGCCTTTGGTGAAGCTCTAACCTATGAAACACGAGAAAATCAGCACACAAGAGAGAAACTGAAACAGAACAATTAAAAAATAAAGAAAAGGACTGGGGGAAATGTGTTCAGGGTATTGCACATAGATATCAAAAACATCTTTTCTTTCCATAAACGGATGCTACTCAATAACGACACAATTTGCAAGACCATGCAAACAATTGCCTACTCTAAGAAGCTTTCACAGGCTTTTGGAGTGAATACTATGTACATGTTGCTGTACACAATGCCCGGACAGCTATGGGTACTGGTCTGTCTGCCCACGACTATACCTTATTATGCATAGCGGTGGGACACGGCACACACACACACGCACGCACGCACACTGCAGTCTTTACACAGTCGAGCACAAATGAAAAGCCATTGCAAAACAACATGAAAACAACCATAGAGCTTCAGGAGGGCAAGGGCCTCTCGCTCTCATTCATGCAAACACATGCACACAGACACATACATGTCATGCACACACCTACTCAGGCCGACACTTCGTAACACAACCCATATACAGCAGGTTAACATTCTAAATGGACCTTCATAACACTGATGGAATATATATATATATATATATGTCTTTGTATATTTTATAAAATTGCTCCCAAAATGTCACCTGAATACACAAAAAGGCATTTGACTGCACAGCACAACATGTCAATTGTCACATATGCAGGGTAAATTCCTCCTCAAGGGCAAGACCTTTCCATTAAGGGATTACGAAGACCTGACTAGTGTCCGAAATAGTACAATCATTGGTATCGTCAATTTTGGTTTAAGGTAGTGCGTTCCGACCCTTCCTTCTTGGGCTCTGGAGAACATTCGTTTTCTGATTGGTTGCAAAACTTGTTCAGGCCTGTGATGAGATCCATGTGCAGTACAGTGTTTTTTTCTTTTTGGAGATTTGGAGAAGAATAAAAGAACAAAAACAGCAGTAAAGGGAAATTGAACCACAGGGACTGGCTGTTCTGCTCTGGTCCGGTCTGAGCCCCGTCTTCAGAACATCTGTGGAGTGTGTGTTCATGTATTGCAATGCGATGTGTTTTTTTTTTGAGTGTTTGTCGGTGTGTTTAACATATATTTGTGCTGACAGACATCAAGTTAGACTTTAAGACAAAGCCTCCTCTCCGAAGTAGGAGAAGCCCTTGAATTCATCCTGGTTGATTTGTTTGATGATGGCCTCGTCTACTGGCGTCAGCACAGGGTCCTCGCGAGTGAAGTCCTGGTCGAAGTTATTCACATCGCGCTTGGTTTTCTATAGCAAAGACAGACAGAGATGTATGGTTTTATGAAGGTTTTCTGAAATTCACCTTCAAAGGGATAGTTCACTCAATGATGTCGTGCCAGACTTGTGTTCATCTTCGAACACAAATGAGGACACTTGAATGAAACCTGAGAGATTTCTGCCCCTCCATTGAAAGTAATTAACCCAAAACATTGACACTTCAAAAAGTTCATAAAGGGATCAAACAAACCTCATTGGTTCTTGAGGAGGCTGAACTGTACTTGTTTGACATGCAAGAACAGACCTCACTGGTTATTGCAGAAGCTCAATTGTACTTTTTTGACGCATGAGAAAAAAAATCCAATTGGTTCATGCAGAAGATCAATCGTACTTGCTTGACACATGAGAAAAACCTCACTGGTTCTTGCAGAAGCATGTTCGAGCTCCCGTTTACCATATTTGATGTGAATAAAAGGCTACATTCAATCTGTTCATCATATAAATCAATCAAGTTCCTTCAGAAGACTTCAGAAGATTAAACGGCTTGATTCATATGGATTATGCTTTTGAACTTTTGAAGCGTCAAGTTTTGGTGTAATACACTTTCAATGGAAGGACAGAAATCTCTCAGGTTTCATAAAAGAGGACGAAAGTCCTATGGCTTTGGAATGACATGATGGTAAATGATGACAGAATTTTCATATATTTTCATCAAAACTAACCCTTTAAAATTATAATAATAATAATAATATTATGATACAATAATAACTAATGTCTGTATTACTTAAGATTCAGATTTTGTCCTCAGTGCTGTTCTAAGAAGCAGTGTAGACTTTCAGTTAAAAGCCACAGGTGCGTAGAAAGTGTGGTGACGGAACGGCAGCTCAAAGTTACTCAGAGGTCAAGAGAGCAAGTGGCGGTCACGGTTTCTCTGAACCTTTCTGTGACCTTTCCATCTAAAGCACCCACTTGTGTACATATACACACGCACACACAACACTCTCAGCCCTTCCCCCCTCCATGGGAAAGCAGAAGTTGAGAAGTGCCGTTGTGGCATCTGACTTTCAGTCTAGACCACAGACACTAAAAACGGGGGAACATGAGAGATAAAGTCAACGTGCGTGTGCTGTGTCGGAGTGTTTTGCAGAAAAAAATTCTATGAATTGTGACGTGTCCTAATGTGCATTTCATGATTTACATTTTACATTTAAGCAGTGGGCAGTTGCTTTTGCCCAAAGCTACTTTCACTGCATTCAAGGTACATACGGTCAATTTATACCAGTTTCTTGGGAATTAAACACATAACCTTGGTGTTGTTAGTGCTATGCTCTACTGTTTGAGTTACAGAAATGGGTTAATTGATTGTGTGAAAATCATGTAAGCTTACAATGCGAGGTTTAAAGGGGGGCTTGATCTTCCTCTGCTCCAGCAAGACCCAGTCAATCTCTCTGAAGAAAGGGTGGACTTTGATGGCTTCCTCTAGTCCTTGGGTCACCACACAGCCCAGGCGCTTACTGGGGCTCTTTGTCATGAACTGAGGAAAGGGA